CTCAAATTGGTCAACGTGTTCAAACTGCTGACCCACTTGATCTTCTAGGTTAGCCAGTCTGTAATCTACGCCCTCTGTTATCTTACGGGGACTTGGATTCGCCACCAAGTATCTTCTTTGGTCACCAATGCCAGGTGTATTGGCCATCATCACATGACGCTTGTAGCCTGTCAGATGTTTCTCTAATTGGTCTCTGGTGAGGCATCTGAACATGCAGAGGTTACAATAAAAGGCCGCCTGGTCTAATGCAAGGTGATGCTTCTGGATATGATCTATAACACTGTTAACTCTCGGGGGCGGGACCCCCCACCACTTAACCCCCCCCACTTTTTAATGCGTACCCCCCTCTCGGCTACCCTCCCCCCCAGATATGGGGGGGGGGGGGGGGGGGGGGGGGGGCGGGGGGGCGGGGGGGGGGGGCGGGGGGGGGGGGGGGCCCCCCCCCCCCCCCCCCCCCCCCCCCCCCCCGCCCCCCACTCCACCTTAAAAAAAACAAAAAAAAAATTTTTTTTTTGCCCCCAGGGGCAAAAAATACAATGCAGAAAGGGTGGTGCGGGCCCGCCAGTACAATCTACCTCTCCTTTGTTGAGCCTCCATCATCTGAAAATATACAAAAGGGGTATCCCTTTTTACTTTACAGCTACTTGTATCATATAGTTCACTTGGTATCTCGCCAGCGCAGAACTACGATGTTCTTGCACAAAACGTTCGACCGCTGTTACTGCGTTTCTTCGGTTTCTTTGTGTTCGAAAACGTTCCGCCAATGAAGGAGAAAAGCACATAAAACTGAGTAAAGTTTTAATAATAAAAATAGACATCAGATACAAAAAATATGCGATCAATATACATAATGCTATTGAGATGCTTATAATAACAGATTAATTATTGCTGGATTTAATATCTTTCAGCAACAACTTTTGAGCTCTTTTTAACCAGTCTGGTATTTCGCAACCTAGATATTTCTTCAATTTGTCATGATGAGCGACTCTCTTGGTTCCTTGTCGATCAAGCTGCAATACATAGGTAACTGGTGACATCTTTTTCTGAATCATAAATGGTCCATCAAATTTATGTTCCAGCTTCGGTGTAACACCAACTTTTCTGCTTTCATGCAAAGCCCATACAAAATCACCTACATTATACACTGAAAATTCTAGGTTTGAATCATATCGCTCTTTACTTCTTTTTGCGGAAGTTTTAAGATAGCGTCGAGCAACATCATGCGCATTCATCATCCTTTGTCTTATGACTTCTACATGTTCTGAAGGAGAGACAACTTGCTCTTCACAAACATAGCCGAAAACTAGATCTGCTGGCATTCGAATCTCTCTACCAAGGCACATCATATTTGGTGTAAGCTTCGTCGCTTCATGCGGAGAAGACCGATACGCTGCAGCAATACAGCCTAAATGGAGGTCCCATTCATCTTGTTCGACAATGTATGCCTTGATCATACGCAACAAGGTTCTGATATATTGCTCAGTCTGTCCGTTACCCTTTGAGTTCTTTGGGCTTGCACGCGTTTTCCTAACTTCAAAAATATTGCAGAGCTCTCTAAAGAGCTTGCTTTCAAAAGCAGCTCCTTGGTCGCTGTGTATTGAAAGGGGTGCGCCCCACCGACATAATAAAAAAAAAATAAAAAAATAAAAAAATTACATCTTAATTGCGATATTGCGTTGCGCAGCTCTTCTGCTAACGCTTTTTACAGGTATAACCTCAACATTATTTAGTTAAAGTGCGTTCAGTGAGAACTAGGAATGTTGTTATTACCCATTTTCGGTTTTAGGAAGCGGACCAAGATAGTCGATAGCAAGAGTGTCCCATGGCGCACCACTGGCGAGGTGACCTAGGGGTGTTTTAGGTGTTTTCTTGGGTATCTTGTCCTCAGCACAAGTATGACATGACTGTACATACAGACGGACACTGTCTTTTAATTCAAACCAGTAATAATGCTGTAACACTTTCCTTATAGTCTTCTTGGTACATAAATGTCCTGACAATCGAACATTATGTGACTGATAAAGTATATCATTTTTTAAACATTCAGGAACAATCATTTGAAGCCTAGCATCTCATTCATTTTATTTATTGCAAATAAATAATCCAGAATAACAAAAAAAATATAAAAACACCAAGTTCCAATTTTACCACATTGATTGTTTTCTTACCGTACTTAAAATGCAATAAAACAGTTTACACATCATTTCGTATCTCTTTATTACAAAATTCTTGTCACGTACCATAAAACATAGTTTTAAACAAATGTACGGAAATGAGAAAATTATCAACAGGAAATAAATTCTCAAAATTGTCTTGGCGCAACAATATAAAAATGGTAAGACATAGCCAGAAGAAATATACTCTACATCTACAGTGAATTATTAGAAACACACGCAGTCATTTGTTATAGTGTATATATAATATATAATATCAAGCTTACTAAACTTGATGTTGTTGTTTCGATGTTCTTAACATTTCGAGGTTTATAAATGCTCAGATTATTTTATTCTTTATTACAAAGATCGATGGAGTAAATTTAAAATTAAAAATTACAATAATACCTCCCCCTATAGTCAACTGCTATTCAAAGGCATTTTTGTGTGTGGGTTTGTTTGTTTGTTTGTTTGAATTTTTGTTTTTGTTGTTCTGTGACAGAAAAAAACGATTAAACATCTGAAAACAAAGTGACCTCTCGCAACAAAATAACATGAAAATTGTGGACTCGGTTTATTTGAGTCTGACCATAAGGGATAATGAAAAAGTGCCACATCCCTCACGCCCCGAAGCATCGGCTTGAGTGGTACTCAATTCTCGAAACTTAATAGTGCTGCTAACAATGATCCCGAAGGACGAGCAAAATATAACAGCACTGAAGAGAAGTACGACAAAATAACATGCAAATTGCCGACTCGGTTTTATTTAGGCTATTCATGATGGATCATGAATGAGTGCAATATACTTCACGCCCCTAGCATCTTGATTAAAGTGCATTTATATTAACATCCATTTGTACAAAATTTTGCAATTAATAATATGATGTATTATGAACATTTTTCTTACCGCCATATGAACCCATCTGCGGATGTTGCTTAATTCATAATTTTGCCATTTCATGTGTAAATGTTGAATTCTAGGTGCTATGGGCGTGGGCGGTTGTTTGCAATGGACAGTTCCGTCCATGAACATGCTCAATTAAACCGAGCCTGCAACATTTTCAATTTTGCCGTTTTGGACTTTCTTTAGAGATTCTTATTTTCTCTATTTTAATATTCATTTGTTATTATTATTATTATTATTATTATGACTTGTTATCCATTTTAGTTTTTAAGATAATAAAATAGCGTCTTTAGACGTCTAGACGTTTTCCAGGAATCAAACTGTCCATATGTGGAACAGAAACTCATTGAAATAAATTTATTACCAACACACATCCATTTTTCATCTGATAAGTGTTCTCTGCTCTCTTGATTGAATACTACGCGAAAACCTTTGTTATTTGTTTATTCTCTCAGACACAATGAACTTTGTCTTTTAGTTCTGAAACTCCTATTATTTTATCGGGCGACGGTGAACTAAAGTTTCATATTTTGATCTTTCTTTTGTTTCTCTTTAATTTATAAAAGACAGGAAATATTTCTGAATTTCTGAATATATTTTTAACATTTTCTTTTTTTAAATGTGTAACCGTTTTAAGATACAAATCGAAACTATTTTACGTGCGGTTAAATATGTTATCTGCGTAAATAACATTGATTTGAACTAGAAAATGCAGCATTTGGTTCCTTATGTCACAATTTATATGCAGACATGCAAAAGTTAATCTATCATACATAAATGGGGAGACAAATTCAATGTCATTTCTACATGATTTAACGTACTTATGCATTATATTTGCATTAATAATGTAACACTCATTATTTACAATGCTATTGTTAAATGAAGAATTTATTGACTGATACTTTATATGCAGCTAATACCACAGAGATAGAGGACATTGTTAAAATCGAAGGGTTGATCAATTATGTATATTCCGTTCATATAGCAATGAGAATTTTTTAACTTTATTTAAACAATAACTATTTTGCCTCGTACACATCCTAGACATGTGAGCATTTACAATCAAACATTCAAACTTTTTTTTTTTTTTTGAGGCCCTTAAATGGTAACCCCGTTTATTTTGAACACAGATAAATACATACATACAAACATACATACATACAAAGACATACATATATATAAACAAACAAAACAAACACACAATGTACATTAAAAAAATAGAAGCCTGTGATTAATTTATAATCTCACTTAACTTTTCAATATATAGTTTTGTAGCCTGTAGTCTAATGAATAAAACTGTTTCTAGTCATATTGTGTTTAAAATAATAATAACACATAATCAATAACACAATGTCCACACTCACATACTAATCATGGTATGAAGAAATGAAAATATATTTCAAACTGTCCCACTTTTTGTCAAAAAAATCTACTTTGTTAATATTTTTTTGTGTTTCTCTCTCAATTTGGTATTGGTACTTAATATAATGCTTAGCAGCCTCTATAGTCGGTCTTTTAAAATTCATTTTACAAAAATATATATACTTCTTGACAAATAAAAGCAAAAGATTAGTTTCATTATCAACATTTTGTATTCCTAAAAGAAATTCTATTCTTGTCAAATGTAAATGAGTATTTTCAAAAAGACCATGAATCATATCAAAAACAACTTCACAGTCCCAAAAAAGGTGTTCCAAGCTTTCAGAAAATTTGTTGCAAAAACTGCAGTTTGGATTATCTTTGTATTGTATCTTATACAAAAGTTCGTTTGTGCCAAGTATTCTGTGTACAATTCTGTATTAAAACCATTGTAAATTCGTGTTTTTAGTGGTTTCAAAAATAAGTGAAAAAAAATGTATTCCATTCTTTATCTTCAAAATTAGTATTAAGTTTTTGTTCCCATTTAAGTTTACAAACAGCTGTACTGTTATGTGATTTTAAAGGTACTCCACTGAGGTTTGGCCAAAAGTGCGAAAAAAAAGTAAATTTTCACAAAGCGATATTTTTTAATTACCTACGTGTAAGAGGCATTGAAACAAAATCAGTGATGCATGAATATGTGTTTTATCCCTTGACAATATGTTTGAAACCTAAATTTTCTTCAATATTATGGGAAAAGCGTTTAAACGCCTTTCATTAGCAAATCTCAATGTTCCGTCTTAAAATAACGATCACGTGATATAGCACGCGGCATGTGCGCATGCGCAACGGATATCAGTTGAATTAAAGACGTAAACAAGCAGCCATGCCTCGACGAAGAAAAACGGCAAGTGAGAAGAAACGCACTGCACAGGCTCGCCAGCAACGTTTTTGGTCTAAACAAATTAGCCTAGATGAGCAAATCGATCGGTGGAAAGAAATGAAAACCATAATTGGAGTTCCAACAGACGATGAACTGGCAAAACACCTGATTGATTGGTGAGTTAGGGGAAATCTCAAAACACTTTTTATCTATTCATGTAATAAGTACTTGTACGGAAAATTAGTTATTTCATCAAGAACAAGTATTATAGCGATTGTTTTTTGTTTGATAATAAAACATAGTGTGTACAGATCTGTACATAGCAATTAAAAAAAAATGTACAGGTCAAGTTTAGGCGTTTTATCTAGAATATTCGTAAACAGGTAACGATTTTGAAGCAGTATACAAGATGGGCAATCCCGGGGTATAATCCAGGATATAGCCACAAGATGTAGATATTCATCATCCATGAATATACGCTACCAAATATTATAAACAGATAAATTTACTGGCAATATAAATTATATATCAATATAATTGGACATACACACTTGAAATTTTGAAAATGAAAATTATGCCTTTATAAGAAATGTATGCACATTGTTGTATACAATATTCTAAAATTCAATTGTACCAAAGTTCTACTGTCACAGCATCTAAGCCTCCTGGGTTTAACATAATGCACATGTGTTGTTGGTTTGAACATGGTTTGACATAAATGTAAGATAGTCTTTAAACAGGGTTCTCGGGGACGCTTATTTCGGCGTCCCGGTACGCATGTTTATTACAGCTGGACGCAAATATTTCAGAGCAAGGATTCCACGTACGCTTAATTTTGCCTGAGGACGCATAAACATTACCGATTGTTTACAACCACAAATACACAAATGCGTCAGCGCGTGTCAGTCTATAGGTTGGCGGTCCTATGCACATCGACCCGTGAAGGGATAAGCCAATCAGCGATAACCCTTACGATCATTATCACGCAATAGTGATCAGACTAATGTATACACGCACTGAACAGTACATAATTGTAACAGAGGTGATAATTTTATATCTTTGATCAACATTTGATTGGAAATTAGCAAGTTTTACCGACAAAAGGATAAAATTATTGACTATTTACACAGCAAATTTTTCCTATGAATGAATATTTAATTTTGTTTCAGTTATTTGGAGAAGCGTGCAGGCCCAACACTTGCAGGGGTCGGAATACTGCCCAGTCAACAGCCAACACCTACACGTTCCATGTCGACTCCAAAGGGGAGCAGCCTGCATGTGGCAATTGCAATGGAGTCTGAGCTGTCCTCAGTAACAGAGGGTAGTGAATCAGGTGGAGAGCTGATGTAATTATGTTTTATGAATAATTTACCTCGTGTACCTTTAACTTATAGCCACATCTGTCTATGATTAATGAATAATACTTAAACAACAATTTTCTAGAAATACTGGAAATTATCTTCTTTTTCTACATTCTGTAGTTGTATCAATGCAATGGCATAGTCATTTGAGCCATTTTTAACAAATGCAATGTTGTTGCATTTCTCTTATCTTATCTTTATTTTATGAATATGTAAATTCATGTCAAATAAGTTATGAAAATTAAAATGTTTCAGGTCAAAGAAGCTTGGCTTGAACCTAAGGTCATCTGGTCAAGGGAAAAGGGCGCAACCAGGGTCGTCGGTACCAAAAGGGAAACAAGGAATAAAAGTTGCAGATTCTAAAGGAGCCGAGGGAGGTGTGCCAACACCAAAACATAGGAAAATCAGGTATAAAGATTTTGTGTGGCTTCTTTTTTTTTAACCTGGAATTTTTCATAGAAAATGTGTTAGCTTTTGCTGCAGTCAGTGTGTTTGATCTGGTTTAGGTCCACAAACTTGACCTTGATCATAATGATTTCATTCTGAATGAGATGAGATACCTTCATACTTAGGCACCATCTGTTTGAAGAAGATTTCATAATTGAGCAGTTGCAAAAATTTCATGATATGTAACTTAGTTTGATCTTGACATCAAACCATGGTCAAGTTGTTATATGTTGCTAAATTGCCTTTTTTTGTTATGAATTATAATGGACAGTAATGATAAATGCTGGGGCAAAGCAACACTTATGATATCACATATGTGTTAATTATCAAATGATAACACATTTGTGTTTAATTATCAAAGGACAACCCTGATCTGTTAATTAATTGGTCTGTCGCGTTCAGATGTGAATTTTTAGAGAAACACTTTAATTATCTTCTGTATTTTAGTCAGAAATAAGAAAAATAAGTGATCCTTACTTGGACTCCTTGGAGTGGCTTTTGTTTAAAGCTCCTTTCACACACGTTGTATTTTGGACGTTTTTGAAATAAAATGTCATTAAAAGATAAAATTTCACTGCAGCTCGTACATTTGTATGAAACTAGATGATACATACATGTCCTTTTTTCAAATAAAAAAAAAAATAAAAGTTAGGTTTTGCTGTGTTTGTTATGCGTGTAATTTTAAAAAGTTGCAACGTTTTACTTTGTAAATATCGACATAAATTCTACACACACATTTTTAACTGGTCGCAAGTAGATCCATTCTATGGCTGCAGGTAGAACATTTGTGCTATTGGAAATGTTTTTATCATGCAATCGATGCTGCACAATATGTCATTGAAAATTTACTCCATAAAAAGGAATAAAAGAAGGAATTGTTGGTAATCAGATTATTTGGTAAAAACTAACCTTTGAGCCACGTCGCGACAAAACCAACAAAGTGGGTTTGCGACCAGCATGGATTCAGACCAGCCTGCGCATCCGCACAGTCTGATCAGGATCCATGCTGTTCGCTATCAGATCTTCTACTTGTTATAGGGTTGGTAAGCGAACAGCATGGATCCTGATCAGACTGCGCGGATGCACAGGCTGGTCTGGATCCATGCTGGTCGCAAACGCATTACATTGGTTTTGTCATGACGCGGCTCATTTATATAGTAAGTTCTACCTGCATCAATTTGTCCTACTCACAACATGTTCATGGGGTGATAAAAGAGTTGTTTATATCTGACACATGACAACAGTTAGGTCAGGGTTATTCGTAAAAGTGCAAATTTTACTTCTTAGGTTCTTTGTATATTTATAGCTGTAAACATACATGTTCATGTTTTTAGACCCATTTTGTGTGGGGGTCTGGGAGAGTAGCATTAAATGATTTTACTAGTGCCATTTGGAAAATGCCTTAAAATGAATAATAATCCGTTTAGAAATTAAAAAACAATTCTTTGTATGACTCCCATACATTTTCTGCATATTTTATGTCAAGGGATTATCTTTATTTAAAGTTATTTTTCTTTTAAAGGATTGAATGTTCCCTGTCAGAAAGTGAGCTGGAGAGTTTAATGGATCCAGACTTTGACCCTGATGATCCAACATACGAACCAGAAAAATGGAACATTTCAATTATGTAAGTAATATAAAGAATTCTTATATTTTAATAGATTTTTGTCAAGCAAACTTCTAGAGAGCTCAACATAGATGTGATGAGGACGATTTAGTGAATGTATGTGTGTCCATCCGGGCTATTTAAGAGAAGTAGGGGGCCATCTAACTGTAAACAGAACAAAAGAGAACAATAGAATTCATTCCGTAACAATAGAATAAGGGGTCATGGCCCTCTATTAAACAAAGAAATTGCCCCTTAGTCAATTTAAGTGTTACGTCCGTCCAAATTATGCTTGTCCGGGCCGTAACTGTGCACAAATATCCCAACAGTTCACAATGAGACAGTGTCATGTGGAAGATTTATGTGGCTGGGTCAAAGGTCAAGATCATATTCAAGATTCCTTGGCTTGTTTTTGTCTTGTATAAAACAGACAAAAAGTAAGTAGCATTTCTGTAGTAAACTACTGCATTTATATATCTGGAAACAAAGTCCCAAAAAGGTCAGTTCAACAGCTACTGCAAAAACAAAATTATGTGTCAAGTATTGACTAGAGCTTTCATTAAGTTTCAATATTTGGAAGTCAGAACAGGGCTTTTTTTCTTTCTATAACAGGGGCTGATATAAGGCTCCTTCACAATTCAAAATTGCACAATTTTTTTAACAAAGCGGCAGAAAAAATTCACAATTTCAAGAGAGACTTCACAAAATATTGGCACTTTAACTTTGAAATGCATTGTTTACCTTCCAATAAAACTTGATTTACGCCGATTGCAATAATACAGAACTAGTTTTAATCAAGTTTAATGGTTTTTGCGCATGTTAACAGGGTTAATGTACTGATTTGAAGCAGATTTTACCCAGGTCAGAAATTATAATCAACTGTTTCCAATTTCAAAATGTAGGGAAATGCCAAGTAACATGTCTTTTGTTTTTCTTTACAATTTTATGACATATCGCGCTTTTTTCGCAAAATGAACAGGCCCAGGAACACAATTTTGACAAAAAATGCCCTGCAGAAACTGCAAATATCTCTGAAATTGAAGTCACATTATAAAGGTTATAAAGGAAAAGCATTATAAACTGAAAGTCACAAGCCAGAATCAAGGAGTAAATGACTCCAAAACTTCAGTTGTCTTCCCTGATTGACTATAAATTATTTTAATGAAATGCATGCACGAAAGATCAAATTTGTAAGACAGATTACATAGCCTAGATATGTTCACTTTGTATTATCATTGTAATATTTCAGTGAGTCTGACTCAGAGAGTGATGTAAAGATGGATGATTTAGAAGAGGAAGGTGTTGAAGACAATGTATTTGACATCCAGACTGAGATTGATGAAGATGAACCAACAGTGTTTGATGTGAAGACAGAGGTAGAGGAAATAAGCGCTACACCAACTTCAACATACATGGCAACCAAAATGAAGCATGTGACTAAAGACCATGTTTTAGAAGAAAAATACATAACCACACAGCCAATGATTGAGAAGCTTTTAGACATGGTTCCAGTGCTACCTTGTTCCTCATGCCAAAACCCAGTAAAGAAGATTGTGAAAACAATTGGATGCACTATTGAATGTAAATGGGTATGTTTGAAAATTTCTGTAGAATCAAAGAATCATTTTGAAGATTCCCTATGTTCCAAAATAATAAAGTTAATTAACATCAAACATTTAAAGCAGCACACATCCAGATTCGTGCAAATTTTCATGAAAATTTAAAATGTTTTTAACAGTATAATATTGTAAAGTTACCAAAAGAATGCAATTTATACATTATTAATGGCACTTACAACCAATGTAAATTGCTATAAAGAGGTCAAAATCTGTCAAAATAGGCCTTACTGTGTAAGTAACACAGTAGAATTAGAAAATACGTGGTTGATGTCGGGATAGAGGTTTATCCAGTGAGCGAGAAAGTGTATCTTGGTGAGCTTTAGTGAGCCAAGATTCACATTCGCAGCGAACCGGATAAACCCTCTCCATCAAAACATCAACCATGTACATGTATTTGATTTATTCTGCTTTTTATCATGTCTTTCGCATAATTAAATGGTTTCATTCTTCTTTTTCCGCGATAAAATAGCATCTATATGCAGTTTTGTTTTGCTTCTAAACATGTGACGTCATCATGTGACGTAATGACTGGAGATAGTGAGTTTATCCAGCAAGCCTATATCCAGCTGATAATTAAGACAGTAGCAGGATAAATAAAGATATAAATACTGAAAAATTCAGTCATTAATCGCACATAACATTATATTTATTACTTGAATTTTGAATCTTTATAACCTTCCTAAAGTCTTAGTACATTTTTCTCAGGTTGGATATTATCGATAATTTTGCTTATCTGAAGGAGTGCAGCTTTAAAGTAGGCATGGTGTCTATTTCCTTTGCACAAAATCAAGAATAGGTTAAACAAATGTTACTCAATTAATTGTCTACACAGGAACATTAGCACTTTTTGTATTTCAGGTTATTGAAATTTGCCCTTGTTATTGTGATAATCACATAATTTACTTTTGCTAAACCGTTTTTTAACAAACACATAAATATATATATATTATACAGGGTGTATGTTTGACCCTTGAAATGACTTTTTGACCCTTCAAATTTCCAAAAGGCCTGATGTGACCCTCAGGGTTTTAACTGGAGGGTAAAATTTTCTTCAAATCATAGGGATTTATCCTTGTAGTTGTGTAAACTTAGTCCATACTGGTCAAAATGACCCTCAGGATTTCATGGCTAGTGAACACCATGTATATATATATATAATATAATATATACCTTGCATTTTGTATATATATATAGGTTACTTTATTTTCAGTTATGCTCTAACAGCCATGTTCAGAGGACTTGGAGCAGCTCTGCTCTACTACAGACAGGGATGTACAGTACAAACTTCCAAGCAATGTCTACTATTATCCTGTCAGGCAACAGCTACCAGAAAATTGCTCTTTGGGCAAAGTTTCTTGGGTTAAAATTTCCGGGCAGAACATCATTTTACACTATCCAAACAAAATGTGTTGTTCCTGAGGTGGAGAGTTTCTGGATCTGCATGCGAGATTCTTACCTAGAAGAACTAAGAGGGACAAAAATTGTTTTAGCGGGTAAGAAAGATATCAACATCAATTATTTACTGTGACCTTTTCTGCACATCTTTTTCTTTTTCATAATAGTCACTCATAAGGGTCATTGTTAAAGAAAGGTTTATATGTTGATTATTCATATGATGTATATTTTGAAAGAAAAAATACACAACGACATTCTCTTAAACCCCCCACCCCCCTTGCCCCAATGAATCTGCACATAATATAGTATAAAGTGCATTTTGATGTTGATGTTGATTTGTAATATGTTTTCAGGAGATGCGCGAATGGATTCACCTGGCTTTTGTGCAAATAGTTGCACATATACTCAAATAAACCAAGCTGACAAGACCATTCTAACCTTGGAAACTGTTGACAAAAGAGAGACTATGTTAAAGTCAACCTTGATGGAAGCCAAAGGGTTCCAGAAGGCAATGGGCACTCTCATTGCATCAGGGATTGTCATTGAGGAGGTGGTTACAGATGCACATCCCCAGATTGGAAAGATAATGAGTAAGTTTTGGCATGAACAATATGTGATTATTTATATTTATAAAAGAAACCCTTACTATAAGACAAGTTTTTTAAAGAATGGAGTTTCCTGTTCTTTATTTCAATTGTTACTAATGTTGAATTAAGACCAATCTCTTATCGACTATTAGACCATCAATTTTAGTCCCAATTCTTTGTTTAATTCTTTATTTGACCCCACTATGAAGACCATTGACACATAAACCGCGGCGCAGGAGTGTAATAAAGCAATTTAATAAAAACGATATTACACTGGTGTAATGTTTGATGTGACATCATTTGTGCTATATAGAAACAAAGTGTTAAAGAGCGCTAATGATAGGGTTACATTATGGGCACATCATTGAAAAATTACTCATGTTAACAGTTCACTGTTCTACGAAATTCCAACTGAGTTTGTCTAATTTGAATAAATGAATAAGCCTATTACAGGAAAAGAAAAGCTTGTCTTTTCTAGAAAAAAAGACTGCCAGATTTTGATGTGTCAAAAATGTTATGATTGGTTTATTATAATATACAATATGCTTTTCACAATCCTCAATTCTGTTTTAGAGAACCAGTACCCACACATAAGGCATAGCTTAGACATGTGGCTTGGTGGTAAAAGTCTTGGAAAAAGGGTTGCTAAGGTAATTAAAAAGGATTTAACTCATTACAGGATTAGATGCTTGCACAATTCATAATCACAAAATAGACAAATGTCGTATTTTTTCATCGATTATTATATTTTTCATTCATTACTATACATAAATTGGTGTAAAAAGATGAATTAGACCCTTTAAAGTTCATTCTGTTGCATAAAAGACAAGATTTTAGCATTTTATCATTCAGGCGCATTGTCCTGTATATACGGGAATAGGGTATTTAGTGTGGTGCTCTGGTCCTTTTTTTAGTCTCAATTTAAATTGATATGGCATATTCTATCTTGTTTTTGTGGTAAATATGGTAAGTCAAGCATTGTCACACCAGCAATTCACTGAACACTTCAACAGCATGTGTTAGGATTATTGCACTTTTTTGGACAATATAGCACCTAAGAAGAAAAAATTTGCAATTTTGGTAGATATAGTTATTATCTTTATAACTTAGTCTTATAGTTGAATGCATTGAAACTGTAAGAAAATACTATGATTAGCCTCTTCAGGTTGCAAGCATCAAAGGAAATGAAGCACTTATCCCTTGGGCAAAGGACATTGTCAACCATTTCTACCATAGTGCAGAAAATAGCAGATGCAATGTAACGGACATGAAGGTATAATATCTGATTATTTTTTAGAGTTTTTAATAACAGGTGATTACCTTTACTGTAAGTTCTACATGATAACACAAATTCTGCTGTATATAAATTGCCATGTGATGTTCATACAATTTCATATTGATAATATTTCTATAATTTGGTTGCTTTATAGACTAAATGGGTGTCTATACTCCAACATACAGTCAACAACTACTCCTGGAGGCTTGGAGAATGTGATCATGGCCCAATTGAAGACAGAGAAAATAAGCCTTGGCTCATTTCAGGATCCAAAATTCATACTGAGCTGCGCAAGCTCGTCTTTGACAAGAGATTCCTGAGGAAGTTTGATAAATTTGTCACATGCCAGTAAGTTACCATACTTTATCTTTTTTTTTCAAAAAATGGTTATTTCCTTTAAAGCAAAGACAATAAGAAAATGAGGATGCTTTTTCTTGTTATTCACTTTACACTTTGTTGACTTTGATAATTTTGATTTAAGCATGCTAAAGATCTAAAGCATGTGTATTTCATTTATCCAAATAATACTATGATGAACATAAATTTCTATAATGAATACATTTAACTGGATTGATTTATAAAGTTAATATAAATGTTTTGCTTTCTTTTTATAGAACAACATCTGAGTTGGAGTCTTTCAACAATCACATCCTTATGTATGCACCAAAAAGAAATGCATTCAGGTATTTACCATTTTCATATGTCTATCATTTAATTCATTAGGCCTCCTTCAGTTAGTGATAATTGTAGAAAATTTTGTTATTTTTTTGTTCTTCTGTCCTTTTGGGGATCAATTTTACACATTTAGAGTTTTGTAAAATCCATGCTGTTTCATTTATATTTTCAAAATGGTAACTGATGCAAGAAGTTCCTGGCTTAAATAACTTATTTTTAAGACCCTGAGTAACCTCTGGAGCAGGAAACTGTCCGCATGAACAAAAAGTGTTCTTTTTGTTCATTCATAGCTCATAAAGGTTTTTTTCCACTATTTTATGATTTACATATAACATTTTATATTATTTCCAGCTACCTTGTGTACCGGTGCCGCTGCCAACTGGCAGCAATTGATTACAACAAACACTTACATCGCCAACAGAAAACAGACAAGGAAGGAAAACCTAGGTTTGTTTGTAGTTTAGTTTAACATTTGAAAATGTGTAAAATTTCACTGAGATAGGATAGTGGCATGTGATGTTATGTCACACGAGTCATTAAGATATAATAATTCCTTTCTGCTATGCAATTGAATGCTTTAGTAAATACCATATTTGTGAAAATATATTTTCATAATTAGTCAGTTATCATAAATAGGTGATTTTCTGGTCATTGAGTACAATGTTCCCATAAAACATGCAAATCTAATGTAATGTAGTGTAGTCATGATTCAGTTTGCTACATTGTTGGCTCAACATATTTATATATTATATTTATAGTATTTACATAACAATGACAGTTAAAAGAACTTAAAATCATGTTTTTCGTATTTTTACAGATGGAAACGAGTGTATTCCAAAGCATCAAAGAACTGGTCTGTGCAACCAATCAAAGAGTCGAAGGACTATTTATATATTTCTGAACTACAGGTTGCCATTATGGAGCGTTACCTCCGCAGGGAATACCCATTATCTTCTAAGGTTAGGTTATCTGTAGATCACCCGAAAAGAATATCTATTCATAGCGCGCCAGTTGAGCCATTACCTACAGCAGAGCTTGCAGAACGACAGATCAAAAGAATTAAAACAAAATGAAGAAAAAAAACATGGACAAAGAAAATGAGTAGATATGCTAAAGATAATGAATGAAAGGATATGTGTCTCACTTAAAAGCTAAGTTGCCATATGTGACACTGTTATTTGGTAATTTCATTGTGTTTATATGATAAGCAAGATAAATTTTCTTGTGAAAATGTAAAATAATTATCATCATTGGTGTGGAATTAACTAAATATTTTGGTTTGGTAAAATGAACAGCATTACACTTTTTGATGGACAATGGTGTATTTGTGGGGTGTGATTCCAGATGGACAAAATGTGTATATAAGTAATGTAAACATTCATAAACTATGCAAAGGCACTCATGAGATGGTAATGGAATGTTGCATGTTATTAAAAGTATTTTGAATTTGTTGACCAAAATCCATTGAGATACAAAATTGTTTACTTCTTTCAGACCACACTAAATTTGGTTCTACTATTTTGCAAAATCCCTTTTGTCTTAACCAGTCCTGAGCCACTGTTAAATGATGTTATTTGAATAAAAAGAACATGTTCAATTGAAATAACTTTAATTGATTAAAAACAGAGAAAAATACATGGTTGTTATCATACACAAGAGAGCATTTTCAATTTGACATTTATTTTTGACATTAAACCAAAACTTTGAATTTGATAATCAATTAAAGTAAATAGACAAATTCTCTCATTTTACTCTAGTTACCCACTTTTTTAATGATTGTAATGAATCATTTTTGAAATAATAAAAGATAATGCTGAAAATATGGTATTCTAAGCAAAAACAAGAGTGTCATATATTACTATGTGGCTGAATGTTAGCTGGCCACCCTTTATTAAACACCAAAATATCCATAAAAAATATTGCTAATAATAGAATGAGGTCAATTTTTAGGATCAAACCTAATGACCTGGTGTTTATTTTGGCCATACGAAACCTTTATTTTATTTTTTTGTATGTCAATAAAATGACAATTTGGCAGTAAGTTACTTACAATATCTTCAACAAAGTTATAACTATAAAATAAAACATAACTACATTAACAATTTAGGAAACTGGTTCAGTCATTATTGACAGAAGTATATAAATAATGAAATTGTGAAACAAATATCAATATTGACATTTACAGTATAAAAGCTTGTAATTCTTTTTAATGGCACAAGATACCTCAGAAATCCACATGGTTTTAATTTTTTTAGAATTGCCAAACATGTGCTTAATAAAGTTTCAACAATAATTTAGAGTATGTTACATGTTTAGGTACTCAAGCAAGTAGCATTGAACGAGCAGTAATGTGTTGTAAAGGTAGCAAAATGTGAACAAAGTAGTATTTTGACATCCATACATTATTCTTATTCTCTATGATTCTACCAATTGCTGACACAGCAAAAGCAAAAGACAGTTCATGAATATTGAAAATTGGTATAATTTTGAAAACTGTATTATATACAGAAAGTAAAGAGTTTTTGAGAAATAAAATGATTAGCATATCTGAGGCATAATGGGCCTTTAAATGATGAAACATGTTACATTTAGGTCATATTGGCTATATACATGTAATTGAGGTTTACATGCCAATACCACCTTGTCAAAACCCTTTGTATTCACCACTTGGGCTTGGGTATTTGTCTCTAATCATTCGAACACAACAGGCAGGTATTTTCCTTCTATCTTCTTGCGCCAACTGCCCATGTACCCACAAAACATATTGCCTGTAAGCGGCATGACGAAAGGATTTATTGGCATCGGACTCATTAGCTGCATTTAATGCAAGCATGTCGTCACGAAAATACTGTTGAAGTCTCAGTGTCAATTCATCCAAGACGATCAATCCCATTTCCTGAAATACAAAATTTATTATTTATGATTTAATATTTTTCATTATTTAAATAATTATATGTAAATAAAGTGAACTGGATGTGAGACCAATATTTCCCAATCAATATTAGTTTATAAAAATTTATTTCAGCTTGATTGCGTCGAAAGCCATAAACTTATGATATTGAAACTCTCTCTTATCAATGTTCAGTTAAGTGAAGGTCCACATGGCTATGTTACATGCATTTTTGGTCTATAGTATCCTAGTTTCGCACACACTAATATTTATTTCTATATATACGTATTGCTGATATTTAACACCTTTCAGTCGCAAGTTGTGAAAACATTTCAAACCCAAGAAAGCCCTTAAAATATTATCATCATTTAGACAATAAAATGATATGACTGGTCAGTACTCACAGGTTAAGATGGCCATTAGATTACTCATTATCACAAGAATTCATTTATTGCTATATGCAGGTATGAATGTTACATGTATACCTATTGAATGTATTAATGTTTACTTACTGGCCTCAGACTATTGCAGTGTGTGGGAGCCATCATGCAACATGACCTGTCTTCCTCTCTGGGTATATCAGGACAGTGGCTGCAAACACACCAGCTTGGCCCAACCCCTGGCTGGTCTGGTTCTGGCTCTGGTGGTTGTCCCTCAAGTGATAAAATTCTGTGAGCATCCAGGATTAGACCTGGATCTCGCACAACAACAGATAGGAGCAACTCCTTCCTCTGCTCATCAGTGAGCTCTTCCACTATTTCCTGCATAAAGGATATAGATTTTGAGACAGTTTTATTATGTATCTATGCAGGTGTTAAATATATAAAAATTAGCTTGCCCAGGGTCATGTATTATCCTTACATGTGTATACATGTAGCAAAAACTTTTTAAAAAAAATCTCGTAATTGATTTAGACTAAAGCTTCTAGATGTTTATTATGAATTATTTTCTAGTGGACCTGTACCAAGTTTGTCCAGATTAGCCCTGGTGTCTATATTGACCCCACATAGATGGGTCATCAATTTCTTATTTTTGTAAATAGTTAAACTCTAACCAAATTAAAGAACTATTTTTTAATGCTACAAATATGAACTTTGGACATTTATAGATGTAAAATTAAACTTGGTTGACTTTGACATTACTTGACCAAGACAATAACCCAATGACCTCTTTTGTTTTGGAAAAGTAGCTATAAGGTTTTTTTTTTACTGTAAACATGAAATCTTGTGTTAATCTGAACTTTGATATTAGTTGACCTGGATTTTGTCACAATGCTGGGCTTTCATCCATAGCAATCACTATTAGTCCTTGTTACTTTGAGTCTTTATACTCTGGGTGAGCCATATAGGGCTATCATGGACCTCTTGTTTTTGAAATCTTAGCTTATTCCTTTTGAGCAGACATTGTAGACTAATGGACACATGGACAAATGCCATACCAAAATACCATATAAGTTACCTTTAGGATCATAGACAAATAGGAATGTTGTTCTTTCTCATGCAGTAAACAGTGAGCAAATTCATTATTGATATTCTAAAAAAGGACTCATGAATATCATTGATACACTTACATTGGCTTTTTCTGTCCTTTCCTGATGCAATCTTTGTAGCCTTTCTACCTCTCCTTCATCAAACACTGTCCCATGAAACTTGTGTTTTCCCCGCTTTGTACTCTTCTTCCCCACAGACTGCTTTGTTGCCTTTCCTTTCCCTTTCTGCTTTCCCCTAGGTTCTGGCTCCCAGTCTTCTTCTATTTGTTCTTCCTCAGAAGATTCCTGGAAATGATGACATTTTTTTCAAAAGTGGAAGAAAAAACTTGGAGAATTTTTCTTTTGGGAAACAGCCCTATATTTACAGCCCCTGCTATATAGAAGGAAACTATTTAAAAGTAAATTAATGTGAAGTTACCAAAAGGAAGCAATATTTAAATATCAATGGCATATACAACCCACATTTATTTCCAAAGAGAGGTCAAAATAATGCAAGAATATCTATGTTAGAAATGCAGTAGCCATATAGTTATTCATACTGAAAAAAGTGATTCATTGCATATTGCATGTATGTTATTACTTGAATTTTGAATCTAAACACTTTTCCTAAAATCTTATTAAATGTTCTCAATTTTGATTTTATTGAAATATTTTTGCTCATCTTAAGGCATGCTGCTTTCAATGTCTCAAGTGATTATCTTGGATGTTTTTTGAGAAATTTAATATAGCATCTGCACAAGTGATGTAACACATACATTCATAACAAGTTTGAAGTGCATAGCTTTTATAGCTTTAGAGAAAATGGACCATAGCATATTACATATTACAGGTCTCAGTGACCTTGCCTTTTTACCTGAAAAGGGGAGTGGGAGGTAAAACTTATCAATATGCACCCACATACATAATGTATGAAGTTTTAATGTAAAAATTTCTTAGTATTGAAGTAAATGACCATAAAAAGTTAGCCAGCACCAATGACTGGGTTATGGCAATATAAACTTGAAAAAACTTGTCAAAGGACGAATAATGAAAAATCCATTACACATATTCAGCACATAAGAGAAAAAAAACAATCTTTAAAAAAAGCTATGAAAGAAAACGAGAAACACTGACTTGATAATTATGTAAACGCAATTATGAAATTAAATCAAATATAAACATCTTAATATACCCATATTTATATAAAAATTGTGACTTCTGATAGGTACATGTACTTAACAAAAATGTACTATAGATACATGAACTCAACACTGCCATATCATGTATGACAAATTTGAAAAAAAAATGTATACAATGAATACAAATTATGTCCACTTGGATCATTTAAGGTTGTTGATTTTACTCATTATCATGACTATTTATACAAAAAAAATTTTAGCCCTTCCTTTATTTCTGTTCATTTGAGAATAATATGCTGAAAGTCTGTCTGGGCTAACCTAAAGAAAGGTCATGAAAACCGCTCTGCTGTTTATAATTATTGGAAAGAAACAGCAAAATATTATGCTCACCGAATCGGGGTCTTTGCTAGCCAAAAACTCTAAAGATTGTCTGGCACGACTCTGGAGACGTGATGACCTCCGTTGTCTTTTGGAAGGTGATGATCTCTGCAATTATTGAAGAAAATAAATAAACCCTTCGACCATCAATAATGTTTTGAGACTTTGGGCAAATTTGCTCACAGCTTACACAAACATATTTCATGACAATACTTATGATGTGCAATTATAACATTTCCCTAACATTATAACAAGTCTCATGCTTAAACCAGGTACATGTTAGTAAAATTATGAAAAAACTATATAACTTAAATGTGTATTTTTCACATTTATATAAGAATTGAGGACCAAGATTATGATAGTCAATCCATATTTTCAACACTTTCTATCTGATTAACAATTTCAGAAACTGTTGTTCTGGGTGGTGTTTCGAGTTGCATGGAAGGCTTAGCAGTCTAAATGAAACAGTCTTGCTAATTTTATAGAGCCCCATTGGCCATGTAACCAGGGTCAGCTCGACCCTAAAACTAAATCAGCTCTCAAGTTATCTCGGCCATATACAAACTCAGCACAGGTCAACACAGCCACCATTATATTACCAGTTATATGCACTTTGTGTTATAGTTTTCCTTAATTTTCTACAAGGCTTATTTGCTACTGCAAAAATGGTATTAGAAGTTTTGTCAAGTAACACAATGAGTACAGATTAATCAGGTGATAGGTATGGTTGAATCACAAGCTAAAATTACTGACCATCCTTCAAGAAACTTATCAGGTACAATAAATTTTAACACCTTATATATAGATCTATCATCAATTTACACCATAACATGAATAATCAATTTTGTTGAAAAAAATGACTGGTTATTTATTTCATCACATTTAAGTATGCATAGTCAAGCATCTTTGTCTTGATAATACTTTATTCATGGGTCAAGTTGACCCAAGCTGAGACCCAATGGCAATTATTATCAAGGGAAGTCATGTATTTAGACAAAATCTATTATTTATAAATATAAACAATAAATAAAAACAACGCCATCTTTAAATAAATAAACATGTATACACAACAACAGCATGATATTTCATGCAAACTATGCATTTGGAAACAAATTGCAAACATTTATATAATTTTTGGCAGAAATCAAAATTTTGAGACGGCCCCTACATTACCTAATTATTCGGTAATCGTGATTATCGTCATTTACTAACAAAATGGCATACTTTTATAACAAACCAGACTTATAAACAAGTAGATGTAAATTTTCATGATATATCTGAGGTAAATATTTAAATGTAAAATACTAAATACAGGTTTAAATTGTTAAAAAGTAACTCACTTCCTCATCTGATGATGTTTGCGTCGCCATGTTGGATTTGGTTTATGAAGCATTGTGGGTAATAATGTACACACTGCGGGGAAAACCAATTTCTATTTTTATAACTGCCCTCCTTGACGAGACCGAAAATTGCTCGGGTAAAAATACATTTTCTAGCGTTATGGCTGTTATATGGTTGGTGATATGATGTATTATTGATATTTTGGCTGAGAGAAAGTTATTTTTGGTGAAAATTTGATAAAAGTGTTTTGGGTTCCATTTTACCGTATGGACCTCAGTGGCGTCCCTTTAAAGAAATGGAGACTGAAGCATCTTCATTATTCAAATCGCGCAAAAATCACTAGCTCTAATTTTTTACAATTATAGTTGTTGTTGTTGTTGTTTTTTCAATACAGAACAGATGTAGTATCAATATTTGAAGCAAAACTATAATATTTTTTTTGTTATAAATGGTCAAAGAAACCGGATATCTTAAAACTTACCTTTGCGCAAAAAATGATAAAAAGCACTAGTTTTGTTTGTTCGCCATATTTTGTTTTTCTTTAATTTTAAACTATTTTTTTCTATAATTTTATTGTTTTACTAATCTTCATATGTTCATCTGAAATGTTATTGTTTCAAAAAAGTAAAATTACCATTGACTAAATGTAAAACAACTTATGACTTTGTTAGTTTTTTTTTAAAACGACTTATCCTCGCTTAAGTGTATGAGAAACATTTTGGTTTGATATTCTTAAGTAAAGGAATTCATCAACCGACATGTGTTTGATTATTTACAAGTAGTGGTCAATGACCTCAATTTTACACAAAAGCTCAAAGAATAGTAATGAACAAATTCTTTATTAAACTATGTAAGAATACTACAGAAACTGTAAAAATTATTCTCAAATATACATAATAAAGCTCTAAAGTTACAAGGTCTTGTACAAGTTCAATGTTTGAAAATGACAGTTTCCTCGCTATGAGCCTAATTGATGTAAGAATATGAAACAGTAATAAAATTTGTATTTATGTTCTGGCCCTTTATATTAAATATACTGAGTAAAGCTTTCAAACTATATTCTTTCTAAATGGCATTATTTGAGGGAAAAATATCATTTCATATACGATTAATAAATGAAAATATCAGAAATATGAAAAAGAATTATTATAACATATTGATATCTGCAAAATACCACGAACACATATGTTGTTAAATTGATTTGGAAAAAATGGCAAAATTTCTTCTCTGATGTTCAATTAGGCGAGGCTTCATTTCAATCAAAGTAATCCGGTGCAATTCTTTGGAGGATCCCTGGCTTGCAGCAGCATGTTACATTCTCACTTACTTTGTGAAACTCACAACCTGAAGAAAGTATCTTAGACAAGGTTATGTCAGGTTCTTTATTCTTCCTCCAATTGAAGAGCGCTTATTGGAGGCTCTGCAAATATTAGGAAAATTATAATGTGTTTTCTTTCCATATATTCTAAACTAAATGTTATAAGAAAGAATATGAAAATAAATAAATTATAGCAATAAAAGTGAAAAAGTCTACATGAAAAAACGGCACAACATCAAAACTTAATTAATATAATGCATATCAGGAATTTGGAACAGCATACATGATAAAAACAATATTTTATCAATATAAATGGTTAAATAAAAGGACAATAGTTTTCGTTTGAAAGCCATTTTAAATAGATTCTTATTGCAATGATATGAAAACAAGTTTACAGGAAAACTATCAAAAATGTTGATTGATATATGATTTTGCGACAACAAATTCCTCGCATTGTCCAAAAACAGGCTTGTAGTTAGTTATTACACGCTTGCAACACTTTCAATTTTGTCTACTGGTTGCATTTGGAACAGTTAAAATGCTACATACAGTTCAATGTCTTTTAAGTAAGTTATCGGTTTTCAATTTTATCTGATTCATAAGTTCAAACAGTCAAGTAAACTGGATGAATCTTATTCCAATGATATCATTAATCAGTTGTTAATTTTCGCTTGTGTTTATCCCGAATTAAACACATTTGGTCATTATCGCACGTTTACCATACCGGCTTTCGGCAGTAATTTATCAGTAATTACCAGTTAAGTTTTGCCGGTAGGTACTAAAACACTTTGCTAAAACAAGCTGTTATATGTGCTGTATATCATACAATTGAAACAAGACATAACCATTCTTAATGATGTGGAAAATTCCGTAGTTATCATACTTTCATAAAATGTTTTTGTTGTTGTTATTTTGTTTGTTGTTTGTTTTTAATAAACAATAGCGGAACATTATTTTGCTAAAATAAATGTGTATAACATTAAAATGTTTAGTAATATTTATTTGAATTCAGAATTGTTTAACCTACGTATAAAATAACTGTCAGTCATAAGGAAATACTTTCATTACAAATATATCACTTGTCAGCGACTCTCTCTTATTCTTTTTTCTGATTAAAATTCATTAAGACATTCGCTCATATCACAATATGTTAATTACAATTTCATATGGTTAAAAGTTCTCAAACAGGTACACACAACGTTCAAATAATTGTGCACATAGCTGATTGATTCGTTACCCTGTTTTCTTTTTTATTATGACATATGCATTTAGAAAGAAAACCTAGCTTCTTGCATGCTACAATGCATTTTTTGCCTTTTTCTTCCTCTGATAAACAAAATCAGGGTTTAAAAACATATATCGTGATATGACTGGAAGTACAACAGTAATATGTAGTTTTATTATAGTTTGGGAACCTTCATGTCGAAAATGTACCAAGATAAATCGTATACATGCACAGTACATTAACTGGAGTGCAGGTTTTAGTTATCCGCACTCCAGAGCATGCCCATTGATTGGCTCAGTTTTGCTGGGGTTAACTCGTTGTGACGGCAGAGAAAGGGAAAGCGACAGAAATATCATATTCGGGTTAATTTTTTCTAGGGTTTCATATTGTGACAACAGCGAACGTACTTGTAATGTGCTTGACTATGACACAAAAGAGAAAGAACACTCGGCAATCTGATAAATACTCGGGGTCTAACCCCCCCCCCCCCTCGATCGTACAAATCCGATAGCCTCGTGTTTCGATGCTCTTTTATTACTAAATGAGTACTAGTATTATATTTCGGTCAATTTTGTTTCAGATTAACACAGTCACAATCAGAATATATCATTTTGTTATGAACGTTAAGTTCTCCCCTAAACAACGGCATACATAAGAACTTGTAGGGACACCCATCAACAATGTTATGAATATTTTTTAAACAAGACCTGTAAAAAAAATTAATAACCGTCAAATGTTAAGCCCTGCTAATTTAAAGAGTACAAGCTATCTTTGATGTTTGATAAGAAAAGTAACACAATCGTTAACATTGTTATCAAAATGATTTTAGAGAGGGAATTTTTTGTCAATGTGGAACGTTAGAGATTAAACATGTTTTTGTTTTGCTTCTTCGTGCGAAGTCCGTCTGAGATTGGTTTGAATTCATGTTAAATTTACTGGGGAGTACTGAATATTAGAAGGATTTTAATTGGTCAATTTCAAATTAGAAAATGTAACACCGGGAATCTCATAGGTCATTCTAAAACTAATATAATAATGTACAGGACCTTTTTGAAACTTATACACGTCCAATTATAAAATAATCTTAAGGAAACAAACTTTTCAAATATATTTCTCGGATTTTTGAAATATGTGATCTTCCTCCCAATAAACATTTTACACTGCTTTAAAAAAAATCCTTATTTCTCTCAGGAATATTACTTATTCAACTTATTCAATTTACCGAGTTAGAAATGATATTCTAAAATGACAAGATGGCAAGTAACGTCCACGATCCCGAAAAAAGCAGGTGCATACCGAAATCATTATGCAAGTAAAATCAGTTTTACCTCGTCCGAGTATCTTTTTATAGATACTTCTTGTTTAATTATCACAACAATAATCTAAATGTCATTCACATTTCCAACAATCTTGAGTCAAAGTCTTTCATCATGTCTAGCGGAAAGTATACGCTCGCATACTTTAAAGTCTGTTTCGAACGGATGAGTATTTTTAAATCGTGTTAAAAGACATCAATTTCAAATATACATAAGGGCCCTGCATACTGTTGACAATCCTTATATAACTTAACGACTTATCCCGGGGAAACAAAAATTGGACATTTTTATTTTCGTTCCTCGACCTCCAAGGCCTAATTCAGATATGATACGCAGCGTCAAAATAATGTATAAACTAAAATCAATGTGAGAATTTATGTATACCAATCAGCATTTTTATAAAGAACTATCATTGTAAAGCCTCTTAAACATACGAGCTCATAATTTATTAAGTTTAATACATATCCACAATATTATTGAATGAAAATGAAAGCAGTCTCCTGAACGCTCCGTTTAAAATGAAATTACACAATGCATCTAGTAAAATGTCGATGGCATTTGATTATTGTATGTTTTAATGTTCATTCAAGCTGTGAGGTGTTATTGTAATTAGATAGGAGAATGCATTTTAAGTTATACTTTTGTTTCATAGTGCCAAAGAATCTCCCGAGTCTACTTTATTCCATAAATAGTTGTTTATCAAGATCAGATGCATATTTTTATTTAATTAGTGATGCACCGATGCTTTCATTCAATTATTCTGTTCTTTGATGATTTTTATTTGGATACTGCGTTATGTGTTTTAACAATCTGAAATAATTGTTAAAATACATAAAAAAGTAATCATGCATTATTATCAAGCTTTCTAAATTCCCGATGATATTGTTTATTGCGAAAATGTATTTTTATACAGTCATTAAACATGAGAGGGCAAGAGAGTGTTGCATTTTAATATGGAATATTCTGACTTATTTCATAGTGCTAATGCAATCCAATTATACTTAATAATTTATATACATTTGAAGTGGTTTGTCATGTTTTGAAATATTCATTGTTATACAATGTATAACAAAAGGTATAAAATCAAGTACAGAAGTACAGATCGAAAACCAAAACCTTTATTTAAACTATCCATTCAAATGTTCTTGATTAGAACCCTATTTAAGGTTGCCCATATTTGTTGAAGTATGTGCATATAAGCAGTTAGGTGCTCGAGGGTACTTCATTTGACGATATGAGGAGAAATAGGAGAATTCTTTACAATTGAACTTCCAACAAAGCGTTAAATTTATATACTTTTATAACTA